CTTGGAGATCAGGTGGATCCGGCACCAGATCTCTGAAACGGTGCACCTCTATCGAAATGGAGAGGATGTGTACGGGGCACAGATGGAAGAGTACATTGGAAGGACAGAGTTGGCCAGAGATGGTCTCTCCAGTGGAATCCTGGACTTGCGGATCACTGGGGTGAGACCCTTTGATGACGGCCAGTACGTCTGCACTGTGCGAGATGCTGACTCCTATGGAGAAGCTCTGGTGGAGCTGGAGGTGGCAGGTGTGTGGCCGGTGTGGTGTTTCCAGGGGATGGTCCAGGTGTCCCCGGGTTTGTGTGTCCCTCCCACACCTCTGTCCCGTCCTCACGCCCACCCATTCGGTGCCGAAGGCCAAGAGCCGTGGACAGAGGTCGGTCCGAGGGGGCTCTTCCCACGGGTGCTGTTTCCTGGGAGATGCGGGGTCATTTGGCATCAACGCCCTCCGGTTCCCGCACCGCTTGGGGTGGTTTTGGTGGTGCGAGGGACTTTGCCGCGGCCCCCGGGGGCCCTGTGGTGCGCCTGGCATGGGGTTGGGTCTTGGCCTTTGGGCTGAGTCCGTCCCCACGCCAGCGCAAGCACGGGCTCTTCCCCCAGCCGTGGGCTCTGTCCCTCACCTCTCTCTGGAGGCTCACCAGGACGGAGGCATCCGGGTGGAGTGTCGCTCGGCCGGCTGGTACCCGCAACCGGAGGTGCTGTGGAGAGGTGCCGTCGGGCAGCATCTCCCCTCGCTCTCCCAGAGACGTTCCTCTGATGAGAGGGGCCTGGTGGAGATCCGAGATGTCATCGTTGTGGGCGCCAGCGGAGACGGGGACTTGTCCTGCGTGGTGAGGAACAGCCGCCTCGGCCAGGAGCAGGCGTCGTCCCTGCACATCTCAGGTGCGCAGAGGGCGGCAGGGCTGGGGTGGGCTGCGGCGCTCGCAGCCGTTTGGTCTCGGGGGGCTGGAGAAAGGCGTGGGGTGTGGGGGAACGGGAGGGTTTAGCGCCCGAGAGAACCGGAGCTGTGGGTGCTTCAGGAGAGCGCTGGCGTGGCCACGGGCTGGAGAGGAGCACGTCCCCTTGAGCCCAGTGCTCCCAGGACACGGCTTTGGGAGATGGAAGTTGGGTTTTTTCTTGGTTTTCATCTCTTCGTACACGGGACCGCAAAATGAGCCCTTTTGGTGATGTTGGTTTTGTTTCTCAGCTCCCTTTTTCCACAATGCCCATCACTGGATGGCAGCTCTGGGTGTGTTCCTCACGCTTTCAGTCCTGTCAACGGCCCTCAGTGCTTATCTGTGGAGAAAGAAAAGTAAGTTTGGGTCACGCCAGTGTCCTGCCTTGATTAAAGAAGCTCTTTGGGCAAAGGAAGGACGGGGACGGGGACACGGGGGTGGGGGGGAGGGCC